AATTCTGTCTTCAGGTTGAGTCATCTGTGTCCATCTCTCTTCTTCAAATCCTACCTTTAAAAGCCTGTGTTTGGCAAGTGAATTTGCAGGCTTTTTTGGCTATTTTAGAAAAAAAAAAAAAGGCTATTTTAGCCACAAAAAACAAAACATCAAATCTAACCCATAATTATTACACTTTTCTCTCACAAAAAAAGTCAAAAAAGCCAAAACGTCCTTCCCAAACCAGCCTTTTTAGCCCCATGCTAAAATAGCCAAAAAGCCAACCCACTTCCCAAACGGAAGCTTAATGTCTAGCGAACGTTTTGGATATTTCGGTGACTTCCAGTGATGTTCAGAACACTTCGGTGAACTTCTGGCGATATTCTGTCGACTTTTCGGTGATATTGAACATTCCGGTGACCGTCTGATGAAAATCCGATGGTAGTAGAATATAGCAGCGTTTGTAAATTTAAAAAACAAAAAAAGATTTTTTCGTTAACAATTAAAAATATGTAGAACTAATTGGCGCAAATATTTTATTTTTGGACTAAATGGATTTTGAACTTTGCGTATAGTATTTACTAGTAAGTTCTTCTTTTTAAATTGTGTCAATTTATAGTCTTTAATATATAAAAAGTGTTTCAATTTGATCCCCTCAACCTAATTTTATTTTCCTTTTGTGTTTTGTTATTTTAGTGGACTTTTTTCACAATTTAGTCAGTTTTTTATATTTTAAATGCACCTAATATACACACCTTAAATTCTGAGTAATTTTTTTAATATTTTTTCTGAAGATGCAATATTATTAAAGAAAATAAGATAATAGAAGAGAGAACATACACCATTTTAAGAAGCTGTCAAACCTCTCCAATTTTAGCATAGGGCTTTCGAAAATTAATTTCAATACATACAAACCCTAGTCAAACAGATCAATTTTAATAGGTTTTCCAATGGATTTTGCAACTCCAAAGAGGGGTTTCTCTTGATAGAACTCGATCAGAAGCCCAAGAAACCTCACCTAAACAGCAGAAAAATGGTTTGAAATTTGGTTCTCATATCTTCTCCGCGAGGAACTCCAAAAATTATCTTGAAATAGTCTTTGTACGAAATCGAATTTGAAGGGATAATAGTTGTGCTCTAAGTCAATGACTGCAATCCCCTTTAAATTCCATAAATTCCTGGTTTTGGAACAGAGCAATTTGTACCCAAAGTTCCTACCCAGAAGCATGAGAATCAATGTATTTTCCCAGGGTTTTCAATTTCATTGAACAAGTTGAGAGAAAGCTGTACCTGCGAAATATGGAGCTGGACTAGTGATTAGTAATTGTGAATTGTTTATAGAGTACCAAAAGCCTCACAACCAAGGTTTTAAAAAGCGGCCGCAATCGTTACGTAACGGTTTTGGCGGTTATCGCCACCCGTTACGGCCGCTTTTGCAGTGTGATTGAGATTCACAGGTGTGTCAGCCGTAGCGGCTACCGTAGCGGTCGTAACGGTGTCGTAACAGCCGTAACGGTCTGTTACGCACCGTTACGTAACGGTTCCAAACTGTTTCTTTTCGAAAAAAAACACACAAAAAAAAGCTGAAAATGGGGGAAGAGGGATAGAGAGAAGAGGGAAGATAAAGAGAGAAAATAGAGGAGCAAGAGATAGAGAGAGAGAGAAGAGGGAAGATGAAGAACATGTTATTGATTTGTTGAAACTATAAGACCTATGCTATTATATTCAGCTGCTATCACTAAACCATTTTATTTGTGTGTGTCTATCTATATATTGTTTGAAAATAATAATAATAATAAGTGTGGTCATTATCTATTTGGCTTGGTTAAAATATGTATGTATATATATATATATATATTTAGGTTCTTATTTATTCTCTTACTTTTGTCATTATTTATCTTATATATAATAGTTAGTGATTAATTTTTTTGTAAAATATAAAGTCATTAATTATTAAAATAAAATGTAAAAAACTCAGTTTATAGTGATTTAAAAATATGAAATATATTGGATCGTACTTGAAAATTTACAAAAATTGATCAATATTTATTTTTAACCCAATAAATATAATCATGGAAAAAAATATGCGTATCGATAAGTTTTTTTCAAATTGTGCAAAAAATAAAAAAATTCACGGTTCCGGTTACCGCAACCGTTACACTACGGCCTTTACACCCCACAACCGCAACCGCGTCACCGCCACCGTTACGGCGACCGCAACCGCTTTTCAGAACCTTGCTCACAACTATTACCTCATCTATAATCCCGTAGGTATTAA